ATATATAACCCATACAAAGGGATTACAAACATATGAAACAATAGCTAATGATTGCATGTATTATAGTTTTCAAAACGCTACACGTGATAGTATACTATAATGTAATCAGTGATTATTAATCACTATAATTTGTGTGCACATACAACGGAGATCGCGGATTGTATACATACTGCATACAGGTTATTAAATTAACATTTTAAAACAACTTTAATTAAAATTTATCTTCGCGATAGACCGGATAAACAACGGAAAATAGTATAATTTCATACTTCATAACGTAATATATAATATATGAAAACATATCGAAAATATTTCTATTTTGGGATACAGTTGTATAATAATAATTGTGCACAACAATGCAACGTATTTAATGGAGTACGATTCAATCAGACTATAGATTTATCGTTTTTTCGTTATATTTATATTACCTATTACAAAGTAATATTATAATCGTGTTTGTTGGATTGCCCCACTTTGACTCGTGGAATGTGAACCACTACTACCACTATCTTAGACGACAACATAATGATAAACAAAACGAAAAAATTTCGAAGATGAAACACAACAGATTGAAAAGCAGCGATGACCTACAAGTGAATTGCAATGACACAATGGTTCTCAATGTCAGTAAATACACAATCGAATAATAAACATTACTTACAAGTAGTAACGAAAAAAAACGAAAACTTCTTTTTTCTTAATGGCAAAATCAAAAAATCGAAATAGCACATAATAGAACATGAAATTACGTTACTATAGCCATTTCTACTGCGAAAATAATGTAAATTTCTGGCGTCGTTATTAAAATAACTAAAACCATAGTGTTTAGTGAATAGTAACTGACTTGATAAACGAAAAAAACATTCACTGAATATTCGTTTATTTTAATTTTTTTTTCTATTATTTTAAGCCGATTAACATTGTAATATTAGTTTGATGAAAAACACCAATGCTGAAACTAACTCTTCACTGATAAAAAGGCGGAGAGCGAAACGAATGAGGAAACGGTTTTTATCCACTCAAAATGCACTGACGGGCAAACGGTAGTTGTACTTAAAAGTAGAAATCTCTAAAATTACCTCTATAGTTTGGAAACGGTTTCTGGTTTTAATAACATTAAGGGGACGTTGTCTCAGTGACACATTTCTATTAACTTTGTTTCGTATAAATGAATTGGCATTAGACAAAGTAATTTATGTGCCACGCCCCACCGACGACAAATACAGCAGCAGAGGATAATAATTAGATAACAGTCGAGGGAGAAAAAAATCTTACATACGCCATGATTGTGTAGTAGTAGGTCAAGGGAAATACTACCACTATCGCTCAAACACACGTTGGAGAAAAATTCTATCATAATTTCGCGCAAAAAATATTTTAATAACTGACTAAAAAATACCTTATACTGTAATACTGTACATAGAATTGTAAATTGTAGAATATACATATTAAATAGGTTGATGCAAGATCTTCATATTAATTATTTAAAAATATCATTGTGGCAATAATAGTAATAGTGTTGTAGTGATAACTGATAATAATAATAGTAATAACGATTTAAAGAAAACAAACGCCTACTATTAAGTTATTTCAATGCACAGAGTTCGTTGCTATGTCTCGAACAATGTGGTTTGTGTATAATATAATAATCATTAATGTTGCGTAATGTATTTAGGTCGACACAATTTTATACAAATAATAATAATACGTACACTTTCCTGTTGCCTGTGTGCCCAATGAAGGATATTACGTTGAAGACAGATTATATTCATTATAGAAATATTATTCAACTAAAAGCAATTAATTTAAAGAATAATTAACTTAACTACACAAATGTGGCTATAAAATACAAGTTAATAGCAGACACTATAGAAGCAATATATAATACTTGAATTAGCAATCGTCGACCATTAAGGCATTAACATACTAACTTCTGTTTATTTACATTTGTAAATTACATCATATAGTTCATGGTATAAGAAGGTCTAATGAATTTTAAATATTATTGTTATTACATGATGATAACATTGATAACAAATTATTTTTATCTCGATCTAACTACATAAAATATATATACTTTAAAAGTAATTAGTGTAAAACATCAATTAAAAACGTAAAATGCTGAGAAAACTTCTGAATAAATCAAATTTGTATACAAATTCTTAAAAATATATTCAAAAAAAAAATTTCACATTTATCACAAACTTAGTTTACATTTTTTCCGCGCAATGCTTATAATTTTTGTTCAGAATGAACTGAATCTAATTTCATAACTTATTATTGCTACAGGGTATAATGGTAAGTTTATGTATAACTTTAAACATATGGTACGGCAACAGCAGTAGTAATATGGTGCAGAGCACCTGGAGAGCGAGCAGATCGCAGATACATAGTATTTTACTATAATATAATGTATACGATATGTCGATGTGATTGGGAATCGACTTTACTGTCTTTGTAAACGAGTGGAACGTGTGCGGTATGACAAAATAACTTTACTATGTCGTCGTCGTAGTCGTATATGGCCAAAAGAAAAAAAAAGAGACAGAGAGGAACTCGAGACATTATTGCTTATAAAAAAAAAAGAAAGAAAAATAACCAAGGACGGAAAAAAACAAATATAAATGTGTGTACCTACCTATTTAAATCGAAAAGATCGCGAACTTCGCGTGACACTGAATATATTTTATCTGGCGCACGGTCTATTCGACTTATATTATACGAGTAGATACTATACAATACTATATCTACTCGTCGCAGGCTGCGACAATGTTTTATTTTATACGTACAAATAATAATAGGAGCAAGACTATACAGGCAGGTATGTATTATATACATTGTATATAAATAGTGGTTACCAGTAGGATCGTCGAAGGGGATTTCATTATAAAAACGTACAATCGGCGAGTCAGCTGTTTATCGAACGAATATAATATTAAATTACTATTACAACCAGATTCGTACCGGTGGCGTAGAGATAAATAAAACTATCCAGAGTAAACCTAAGGGTATAATGCCCGTCTGAACACACGTATTTTTATTTAAAATAATAAAATCACAAAATAAGAATTTCGCTCAAAAGAAAGAATAAAATATATATACATTGATGAATATCTAATGCCACCCTCGACATTACCACGGTAAATAAAACAATATTCGAACACAACCCTATCTCCACCCCCAAACCCTCTCTCGCCATAGTCAACCGGTTGTTGTGTGTGTTATAACTTAAAAGCAACACGAATTTTATTCTTTTGAACCCTGCAGCAGCATGTATACATACATATATATATAACATACGTTTATCGCACATTGCTGTCTCGTTTTTGTGTAACCCTATCCAACCCATCGTATTTCATAATAATATGTATTATACATAAATATATCAATAGATGTATATTATCCTTACGGGGAGGGGGAAGGGGTCGTTGTTTCTATCGTACGCCGGTGTAGGTCAACGGCCGGCTGAAATCTCGCGGACGGCAATATAGATAAACAAGTACAAGGGCCACCGTACGCATATGCAATGACTACCTATACATTAAATAAAATATATCCCATCCTCTTATACATATTATAGGTATATAATGTATATTGTATACAGTTGCGTAATCAGGGATGGTCAGAAACCAAGTTAAACATATTATTAACTTGTGTCTTATATGTATATACGATGCATAATACTTCATTCTACTTCAGTATTATGTATATTTTTTGATTATAAAATACCTTTCAGAAATAATTTTAATACTTATAAATTATAGTTAACGAAATAAAATAGTTATATGTCATTAATTCTATAAATATTTAATAATAAATGAATACTATATATCTCATTTACTCCATAAAAATAAACACGTATATTTAATGTGATATAAATTTTTGTTTGTCTGCACCAGTAAAACAATTATTTTCTTTAGTCGTTTTTATTACGTATAATATATACTGTATATTACCACCGCATTCGTATTTATATGATAATGTTTTTTGAGAAACTTATAAAAAAGAAATTTTAAGCTAAACATAAATATATAACTATTATTATTTATTATTAATGTTTTTAAAATTAACTTTTATGGAACATTTAGGAAGATTATTTCCGCGCACCTATCTTTCCGGAACCTTTGATAAAAACAGTTATTACAGGATTAAATATTTAATATAGTGAAAACTATTACAGTTATATAAATGATAAACATGATAAACGCTATATCTTCGTATAAGGTACAGAATTTTCTGCAAGACAGTTCGATTTTGCTGTTCCGTAAAGTTAATCTGTTTGCGTTTATAAAATATTACATTATTATTGTTACTATTGTATACGCACGACGCCTATATTATATTCTAAATAATTTGTTGATAAGCTATCTCTAACGCACCACGATAATATTGTCAAATATAAATTTCTTACATTATTCACTTGTAATATATTTTTGTAGTGAATACAATATAAAAACAATGTCTTAATTTCCATTACATTTTATGTATAATTCACTATAGGTACTATGGGTGGAAAAAGCATTGAAAATGTTTTAAGATTAAATTTTACTTTTATAACCAATATTTATATGTTCACGTAAAATAACTAGGAAAATCAAAAAATCAAAGTGATAATACTGAAAAAATGTATGTTAACATCCATCACTAATACTTGTAGGTACAGCGTTAGCATTATTATATTATATACTCGTATATGCATGGTCTCAAAACAAGGTCCCTCCTTCCCCTCTAATATCAGCGGAAACAGCGATGTCGTCAGCTGCAACATTAAAACGACTCAAAACCACACAGTGACGGTGGGAATGAAAATACAAGACATATATTGCCTATTTATTCCGAGCGACGGAGAAATGAATTTTTACGGTTCTTTGAAATATCCGGAAGGCTAGCTAATCTATACTACACCCAAATCAAACGACCGACTATATTATATGTATATATTATTAAACATGCATAATTATTGAGTCAATAGTTAAACATAAATAATAAACGAAAATTACCTTTACTGGAGAGCCAAACAGTTCTTTCTTATCTTTGACATTATTTTCGGAAACTTGTTGCTGTCTGGATTGTCTTTCTTTCTCACGTTGTTTTTCCCGTTCCATTCTGTAAAAACAAACAAAAAAAACGTATAAATATAGCTGTACTTTGCATATCGCATGTAGATTCATGATCATCTAGACAAGACAACGAAAGGGAAAAAGGGTTAGAAATACTATCGTTCTATATTATATATAATATAAGGACGCACATAGTGAAAAACTGTGGTAAAAATATTGTCAATACTACACCTGGCAGACTATATAATACATATATAACACTACATAATATAAAGGGATTTTCCTGCAGATGGCCAAAAGGATTTGCATATGCTAACGGACAACGGTAGTCCATCACTCAATATAATAACGAATGCACTACAATCCCATAGTGTGATAGGTAGAGCATAATATATTATATTCTATCCAAAACTCATGATAGATATTATTCTATGCACAAATGAATAAATAAAAAATACCTAACTGTATAACTATACTAATAGGGTAATAGCTAAACAACAGAGACCACACATTATATTTATGTGTATATATAAAGGTAGTAAACATCTGGTACGAAAGACAAGTAATGTTTGTATTGTACGCGAATGATTATGATGAATCCCATAAGTAGTGTAACGAAAAATGCGCCCCCGCGGACTAACTGTACCCAATGAGAGGCCTTGAGAACACAAGAGAAGGTTTTTTTCATATCCACTGATTAACCCTGACTGTTATAGCAGCAGCCGCAGCCACAACACCAAAACTCACCAGACGTCCAGACCACGGTCGCTGCCGCCGTCGACTAGGTGTAGTAGTGGTGGAACCTTTCTCAAATCGGCAGCTGTTGGCGCACTACAAAGTGTACACCTGACACATATGCCATGTACAGATTTCCAGGTGGCATACCTATATCCTCGTACGTGCATATATATATATGTCTGTATATACCCGCCGGATGCCAATATATAGGAGGGTCAAATCTCGAACACAGTTCGTCGAAAAATTACGGCGTGAGATAATTACCGATAGAATATAAAATAATTTTGCAAACACATACTCGTATACACTATACAATCAACGAAATTACGCGCATATATACCGTATTCATGTGTCAATTATGAGGTGAATAGAACAATAACGTTATATATTATTATGTTCGTTTATATCGTAGACCTTTTACTACTAGACTAGCCTTTTCTACAAATAGAACGGTCATAGATAGAGAGCGCTTTTTTTGTAACTTGTAACTTCATCATATAATATTATATATTATATATATTATTATACTTATACATTGTACTAGACACTAGACATATCAACACCGATGTCATACTGTACACGGTACACCACTGCAGTATGTCTGACCGGTTACTACCATAGGCTGCAAGGCTATTCTAGTAGTATATATAAGGTCTATGATTTATACCTAAACCTGCATGGACTGCAGCGCTGAAATCCCCACACATAAATACAATAGGTTTTATCTCTAGTTTGAACATGTTCATTAAAAATGTCAATATATATAAAATAAAATACTAAACATATATAGAAACATTGATCGTAAACAAAAAAAATAACACCTACAGCTATACTGTCTACACTTTTTAAGTTCTAGGGAGAGATTATTATTATTGAATATTAAGTAACGAAAATAAAAACAACTGTACATAGTTTTAGCAGTCAATTGGTTAGTGTCTATAAGCATGTAGTTATGGCATTAAGAAGGCTTAAAACGAACGCATATACATAATATTTATACACGATGACCGCTGTTTTACACTAATATTTCATTGTTTTAAACGAAAAACTGGAAAACTGCTGTCAAATTACGAGGTCAAAATCAGCAGCATCTTCTAAGACATTTAATTGCGCGTGCGCCAATACTGCAGACACGCGTTTACAGAACATAATACGCGATCGTTAATGAAAACGACTAATGGCGCAATACAATAAAGTTGATTTAATTCAAGCAAAAATCGGTTTATATTCGCGGAGTGACTCGGTTAAAAGTAAAATTTTCTCAGATGCAGTTCGCCAAACGGCTAAACCACTATAGAATATCGACAGTCATCCATCGAAGCAGCACCACTACGTCGGATGTCGTCAATATACACCAGCACCTTCTCTCTTTTTCCACATCTGTCGCCGATGCAATACGACGTAATAAATAAATAACGCGCGAAGCTTTTACGCGGAGTCAGCCATGTTAAATATACATATAATGACGCATTTTATATACTACAGCAGGGTCATATTTTTTTAGACGACCACCGATACCATTACTACCGCCGACGTCGTTTACACCCATGTACATTACATACCTGATAGCTAGTACACACGTACACACCACACCATACTCAATATCGATTGTGCTTTTAATATGCACAGTATGTACAAAACCGACCCGAGTGTTGTAGAAGTGGTGAATAGGTGTAGTGTGACGGGTAGCGGACGAAAGTGTCTGTTATATACCAGCGGTGATGGTGGCTGCTCCGACGACGGAGGAGGAAGCGGTCGACGTGAATACTACCCGCGCGTGGCGCTTGTGTGGGTAATAATTAATGACGAGAATTGGACTTTTATAGAACGGCGTGTATGGCTAAGCGAAATATGTGTGTGTATATGTGTACATGAAGCCATAAAGAACTATATACATACACGCGCCGAGAGAGAACACGAACCCCGAAGACACAGAAAATCAATAGTGGTGTGTGTGAGTGTATCCCACATCGGAGGTCGTGTCCAGTACCGAGAGTTTGTTTTTTTTTTCAAATCAACAGGGGAATTAATACCGCTGTATAATAATAACCATGTATACTGCGTACGTAGCCAACAATTTTTGTTCACCCTAAAATATCGTCGTCGTAGATATCGTCGTGGTGGATGACGACAGCGGCGAATACCCTTTATAACATTTTCCATCATACACTGAACCCGGATCTCGAATCTCGATATCTCTAACCTCCCCATGGAATACGAAACCGTTTACTCGGCCAAGAATAGTAATAATAATAATTATTATTAAAGTCGTAAAAAGAAATTTTACTCTTATTATTATCGAAAGTGTAAGGATTTTATTTTTACGGACTTACAATCCGTGGGATAAAATGTGTTCAAACGAAAAACGCGCGATTACACGCCATTCACTTTCCGTAGAAAATGTTAAACAATGATTTTCATTATTAGAGGTTTACTTGACCACGTTCGGCTTCCGCCTCTCGGATCATTACCTTACCACCGATATATTATAATTCTGAGTTAGACAAGCACCAGAAGCGTTCAGTGCGTACTCGATTTTCGTATGGTGATAATGCTCAGATTCATTAGTATACCAAAATGTTATCATAACTTATTAAAAAAAAAAAAACATCAAAAGCGGATAACATTTCGGATGATCGTCGGGATAATGTTTTACCAATCATAAAATCGGTAAAACGAATTGAGGCACGTACCTAAAAGGTTACCTGCAACCTTAAGTAAATTGTAAAAATGATAAATTACCGTTTTGATGATCATATGATAATATTATTATTATTATTATTATTATTATTATTATTATTAATCATAATCAAATTACTGTACAATGAAAACGCAACGGCGTAGCTCAAACCATACATGCACTTTCGTTGGTTGAAATTTAAAATAGGAGGGCAAATAAAAATATCGCGACAAGGATTTTTATAACGTTCCCGTCACCCGGCGGGCAGTATAACGGGTGAATTACAATTGGATTATACGACTTTAATAATTATTATCTCGTCGATAGACCAAATACCGCCACTGGCCAGCTGGCCCCACCAACCGACGACGTTATTGGATCAAACAAATAAGCACGTCATATTACTAAGGTTTACTTTAACATAGTGTAATTTACCACCGTAATATATATATATATATATTATTGTTTCAAATTAAATTACGGTTTAGCTGTTATTATAGTATGAAAGGATTAGCACGTCGTTTTCAATTTCTTTCGCGCGTGGACCGAAATGAAATATAAGAAATATTGATTCAATATTAATATAGGTAAGTATGTAATACGATAATAATTTACTGCGCGCGCAGGCGAATATTTACAGATTACTTACAATTAATTGAGGCAGGTAGTTTAAAATACGTTTTTTTATGCGAAACCGTCGTTAAAATCGAATACACTCGCGCGACCACTCACACTGTTGATCAACACTGTACTGACGGCGGACCACGGACTTGCAGCGAGTGCAGGTGCGACAGTTATGACGACAATATTATCGTTTACGTCGTCGTGTATAGATATATATGCGCCTATGGGCAAATGGTAATAATTGTGACAATAACGAGAAAAGATAAAACGGGCATGATAGGCGTCAGTTCGCCAAACGCGCAGTGCAGTCCCCCACGCTCTGCAACCGTAAACAAAACGGACAAAAAAAGAAAATATTATCCCAAAGACGGTGCTATATTCTTATTATTATTCGTCGTGGTCTCTGGAGAACGAACGATGTTGTACCGACGCGGTGTAAAGGGAAGAAAACAGATATTATGCCATACTGTTAGTACACACACACACACATACGCTCGCGAGTCGGTCGGTCGGTGGTGCGAGGAGTGTGCACGACGAGGGGGAAAAAGAGCTCCGCTGGCAATGGTCGTTGACCTCTATTGTGGCGGCGTCGTAGTCGTAGTATTCGTCGTCGACGACGAGCCGACGACGATTTTTTCGTTTTCGGCCGTCGAAGCAACAAAGTATAAACACACGACGACGCATCGCTCTACAGTGGCTTGTTTCTCGTGTATTACGCCCGTCTAGCACGCGTACGGATAGACTTTAATCCTTACCGGTTTGGGGCTATACTACTAATTTTTTACGCGAAAACGGAACGCGTACGTGTCGTCGTCAATAATCTGCTGATTTCCATAATGTGTACAACCCAACCGAATACCACTTAAAATACAATATTTAAACCTTCGTCCAGGAGTACTCCGGATTACTTGAAGAGACAAAATAGTGCGATATGATCGTGTTATTTTTTTTCTTAGTTCAGCCGTTGTTACAAAGTTTTACTTATAGAACCACTCGGCATTACG